GTTTCTTCCAATCAAACGCCAATGCTTTGGTTCGTTTTGGCGAAACCCGTATCACATCATAAGGTTTGAATTTTTTTGCTTATAAGGAATTAGTGGCACTTTACACACATGGGTCACTTATACAATGTACTTTATTTAGACTCGAAATGAGGCATCGGAAAGTGTACTATTCATTGATTATACTTGTACATGCTATTAATTGCATTTTTGAGTTATCATACATCTTGTGTTGCATGCCATGAAGCTAGATTTACTGAATTCAATAAAAAGATGCAACGTATTGAATTTTTAGCAAAATTGCTATTTTAGATTGATGAGGAGGAGGCTTATTACTTAGTTTTCCTTTGTCATTTGAAGGAGGGAGAGGAAGTATTTTGCCTTAGTTTTTTTGACATTACATTGGTTTTTCATATCATTTTGGATGTATGTTGATTCTTCACATATTTACTTAACTATTTTGAGTTTTGATGTTTTGTAATATTAATGTTGTTGTTGATGTTTGGATTAACATTGATAGTGCATCTTAATCTCACTAGCAGGATTATAATACTATGTCTCAATTACTATATTTCCATAATTGTTTCACGCCTTTTACACTTGGAATTTGAGTTGTTGATTTCAGGAAACAGGTTTAAAAGGATAGCTAGTTACAATCGTGTCAGTATGGCTATGGATAGTTAGTTTATGTTTTACTTTGACTTGCAATACTTAGTTTTGCCATAGAATGTCAAATGAAGAGTTTGTTAAGTTGTATTGTAATCGGCTATTTTTTAGACAAAATTGAAGTTATAAGAGAGATATAAAAGTCAAAGAGTTATTTGGGAGGTTATATGAATCAACTAGGAGTCTTTGATTTCGAGTACAAAACAAAGAGAAATGGTTATCGAAATTATGCTAGTTGGCCGAGAAGTTGATGCTTGAGGGCCCAAAATAGAAAAGCTATTGTTTGCCTGTTACTCGAGCGATGCACCTCCCACTAGCCTGGCGTTTGATCAGCGGTGATATCCAGTAAAAATCTATTTCTCAATTTAAACATCTTTTTGAGTTCTAAACAACCCTAAACACCTTCTACTATATATATTTAAGTTATATTTCATCCATACTTGTGGTTGATTATTTTATTCTTCCTAGAAAACATATTTTGGAGATCTTACATCAATTCCTAACATTGAGATAATCGACCACACTTTGGAAAACATTAATCCAAACTCTCAAAACACTAAACCACCCAAATTTGTATAACTTGTCAGATTTCTATAGGACGAGAATGAAGAGTTCTTAGTGATTCACATGAGATGGACGATTCCAAAAGGCTAGGAGCACGTAGTTGAGGAGAGTCTTGATGATTACAAGAAGTAGGTCTAGATTATTAGGAGTTAGACGAATCTAGCCCGTACTGTATTGTACTGTACTGTAAGTCAATTTGTCTATAGTAGATTTTACTAGCTTGAGCTCGGATCTTATTAATTTGTTGCTAAAAAAATTTCTATAGAGTATTTTCCTATTCCTTTTATGCAACCAAAAAAGATTTGTCCTTTTCTCAATGTTTTCTGAGGGTACTCTCCAAGAGCAGATCCAGTGAAGATGGGATGGGGTCTATAGCTTAGAGGATTATAGCACATGCCTACGAATCACGGATAAGGCTTATGTGATGGTTGGAACAAAGACACATTTGGTTGTGAATTCCAATGTGGCTGACGTAAATCAACACAGTCCAATAAATAGTTGAAGTCATAGGTAATCCATTTTCTCTTCATAATAATTTATAAATTTAAATTCCGCATTATTAACTTATTCACCCATTCTCTGGGAATTTGTTGGGTCAAACTTCATTATTTCAGAAAACATTAGTATATAAAAACGTCTTTATAAAGACCTTGGTGATGTTCGGAATGCTAGCTCCTTTGGTGAATTGGTACGAAAATTTCATAGGAATAGTGTTGGGAAATTATTGTGAAAGATAGTAGAGACTCCAGGTTAGTAAGACGAAGAAATTAATTGTCTCGATATGGAATTGCTAAGGAATTTACATCTATTTGAGGGTGCTCTCCATGAGCTAGATAGAGTTATTATAGAAATCAATCGGGTATCTCTCAGTACAAAGCCATGTTCTTTATAGTCTCAAGAAGAGCAAATGGAATCACTACTGATCTATGATGCGCCAACACCAAAGATGGCAAAAGAGTCGAGTAGCTCATTAACTCGTCGGGGTTCGACCTATGGGCAATTCAAACTCATTTTGGGATGAGCCCAAGCACTTGACGAACTGGGGGCTTGAATGACGAGCCTACAGTAACCATTGTTTTTTTTTTTTTTTTTCCTTTTTTTTTTTTTTTTTTTTTTATCTGATTAAAATTTCACTACTTCAATTCATTTTTCATACAACCTATCTACTACCTTCCACAATCTCTGTACAATCAGATTACATCTATTAATTCAAATCTCAATTCATTTTATATATTCTACATCTTTATACATTTTATAATATTTATACAATTCACATCTCAATTCTATTCTCCACTGCAAAATCTTAAATTTTGAGGGTTGAAGTGTAAATAAGAAAAATATTCATTTTTAGATAAAAACAAAATTATAAGATCATCATATGAAGACTTTTAAGTATTTTTAACCATATAGAGACTAGTGAAAGTTTTTGGATAGATCAAGAAGATTTAAGTTAGAAAATTAAAATCGTCATTTTTCACCTGTTCACAAATTTTGAATTGTGAATAATGAAACTTAGTTTAAAAGAATAGTACTTATCACAAGAGTAAGCATTAGAAATTATTCTGGACCTTTTAAGATCTATTTGTGATTTTTGGTACAGTTCAGTATAATTTGAGATAGTTCGAGTAATGATGAGATTTCGAACATAAAGACCTGTAGAATGAATGATAGAGATATAAAGAATTCAATGGTATAAGTTTCGCAAGTTTTCAATCACGAAAAAATGGTTAAAATTTAATTTTACGGTATTTTCTGCTATTAGAGATTTGTGTGACTAATAGACGGTTTCGCAGAATTATTTTTGCTAAGATGAGTGGCTGTTTCCAGCAGAAATTAAAGGTCAAAATATGATTTCTATTTGGTTTAAAAAGAAATAAGAGAGGTTACTGGGTTATTCAATAGTGTGAAATTGGGAACTCTTTATTAGCATCCATTAAGACCCGAATGTAACTTTTTCATCATCTTTAAGGAGGTCCATATACACAGTCCGAAATTCACAACCGTTCGGATTTGGTGATTTATGGGATGTACAAAACTTTCCGTTCGATATGGTTCAATTTATTTGTTTTGAATGCTATATAGAAATGTATAGAGCTTTCCGTTCGATATGGTTCAATTACTCACTATGAAGTATGGTATAGATTGTATGGTATTGTTGTTAATATTATTTCGAGATTCAATTGCATATATCCCACTTTGTATTTTTTGAAATACTTACCATTTTTTGGATTAAATTTACAGATTAATGCGAATTGGATAAATGTTGGAATTTGCCAATATCGTATGCCGTGAATTGATGAAAAGATCTTAGAGTTAAATTTAGGATTTATTTATTTATTTATTTATTTTTGTGTAAGTTTTTAAAATTTAGAGTCTTGAAACTTTATGATTAACTTCTTATGAGTCATGATGTTTAGTTTCGAAAGTGTTGAAGTTTTTCTTTAGTTCATATTTCAAACTATTTGGATGAATTCTCTTTCAATTGTGAAACAAATGTTTGTAACTATTCGAATTAGAAATTCTGGGTTTTACAGTTGGTATCAAAGTCGAGATTTACCGTACGCCCAAATTGTTACAAGAAATGCACATTTTTGTAACAATCCAAGCCTCACTGTCGGCCACTTTCTTACGTACTATCCGCTCTAAAAGAGCCTAAATCCATTTTATCCGTCACAAATTCTTGTCACATCCCCAGGATAAAAACCTAGGACCTATCCTTACAAAAGACTTGTTCAATTGAAATCAGAATTCAACTTAAATGTTTCATAAGACAGAGGTCTTGTGTTTAAATCCTGACACGACAAAAATTCACGAGGGATAAGATAAATTCATGCTCTCGCAGAACAGACAGTACATAAGAAATCGATTGAGCATGAGGCTTGGATCATTACAGACTGCCTCCAAATGGCACCAAACAATAGCCATTTTTGGACATTCAGTATATGTTGCTCCAACAAACTGATTCGCAGGTAGATTTTTTTATTGTATGATTTCTAAGTTATTGTATGGACAGTTTCTGCTAGGACCAATAGTAATACACTCCGTGAGACAAGCGAGGAGCCCTTCTCAGCTTACTATGTTTTTATAATTCATGCGATCATCCAGAAGTGACGATGACTATGGAGCACATATATATGATGTCTAAGGTTGTAACAGTATTTATTCAAAGTCAACAATCAATTTTAATCACATATTTCATGAGATCCACAAGTTTGTAATCTCATAATTCATCAACTTTTATCAAAGTCTACTTAAAATCTTATTTTAATTACATTCAAACAAGAGCTATTATGTTGGAATATGCTATGTCCCAAGGGGTGCTAGTAAAGGCTCTTCTCAATTTCTAAGTTCGTACACACGTGTGCATGTTATTTTTTTTTTTTAAATTCATTTTCGATTACACATTCACACAATAAAATATTTTTCATATAAAATTTAAAACTTTTCTTACATTTTAACCACAATCTCTCCTAAAAATCAATATTTAGAACATTATTTTTTTTTTCTTTCTTTTTCAATTAATAGCCATTAAACAGGACTAAATGAATGAAAGCACGTCATGTTAAAAGTGATGTCATTTACAGTGTATTGACGGAACTAATTTGAAGTTGGAGGCTGAAGGTCTTTGCCAATCATTTCAGCATCTGACTTCTGAACCGACACAACCGACTAATACACCCTGTGGATGAAACAAGAGGGCCCTTGCTGCTTATTCACCTCCCCACAAGATTTTTTTCACCCTTCTTTCCAATATAAATTATCCTACCATTTGTGCCTTCAACAACTCCCAGCATCGATTTGACCTTTTTGCTCTTCATTATTCTACATTTTCTGTCTTCCTATTGTCTCCCTTTACCTTTTACTTTTTCCTTTGTCTAATAATTCATCTCCCACAATTCTTCCTCTCTAGATATATAAATATTTTGTCGTCCTGATCCCTGATTCCTTCCTTATTCTTATCATATGGTTTTTAGTTATGGATATTTTGTCTAACAATTCAACTTGTTTGGAGTTAAGCATAGCCATGCCCGGCTTTTCTTCTTCTTCATCACTTCAATCTTCTGGTAAGCAATAATCTCTTTAATATGATACTGATTTATTGTTCTTTTATCTTTCCCAATATTTAATTTTAGGGTTCTTCAAAATGATCAATCTTGAGGCAAATAGCGTTTATCTTCAAATTTGCTTATTTGACTAAAGATTATCAAATGATTCATTACTTCTTCCTATAAATAGTTTATCAATAGTGTAATAGTTCATTTTTATTTTTAATATGAATTTTTCTAATTATTTGTAAGTTCGTATACAACTTAAAACTCCAATATACACTCCATTGATTGAAGGACAAAGTGATGTTAGTGCAATGAAAGATTTGGAATTGGATATAAATCAGATACCTTCAGGAGTCGAAGAAGAATGCGTGGAAAAAGAATTCGGAGGCCCTCCAAGAAAGAAACTCCGGCTGACAAAAGAACAATCTCATGTTCTTGAACAAAGCTTCAAACAATACCACATCTTGAACCCAGTAAGTAAACTGTCAACCTCACTTTTTCTTTTTTCCTTTTTTTTTCCTGATAATTGCAGTGAAAGTAATAATATTTAACACCACTGGAGTTATAATACCAGTCTAAGTGGCTTTAAATAATAGACACAATTATCACCTTTAATTGAGTCTATCACATATGAGCTATTAACCGATGTTCTTGCCACTGGTGCTAGATAGTATTATTCTTAAAATTATATAGCATTTACTGATTCTAAGGTTTGGGAAAGGACTCTTTTGACATAAACTTTGGGAGCTCTGAGCAGCGACTGCATATAAAGTCACAGATAATGTTTTGGTTATGCAGAAACAAAAGGAGGGCTTGGCAGATCAATTAAAGCTAAAGCCAAGGCAAGTGGAGGTCTGGTTTCAGAACCGAAGAGCAAGGTACTTTACTATGACATACTATTGGTGGCAAGTTTTATTTATATTGAAGAATCATGATGTGAATTTTGACTCTTGATTTGAATTTCATTTATTCAAATCAAGGGCCGAATACATGCCACATTAATATCTGTCAACAAATGTGTACAAATGCATTTGTACAAGTAGATTAATTGAATATCAGAATCAATAAGTGCAACTTAAGACGGGTCTTGGCTGCTTTTTCGATTTGGACACGACTGTTACATATATTAGTTAAAACTCAAATATTTGATTGCCGTTTCATTAAGTTGTTGGGATGAGACTACATATATAATTATTACCTTAGATAAATCATACAATCAGAATATTGCCAAAATTGTGTATTCACTGAATCAGTTTCTACACCCCTTGTTGATCCTATTTTTAGATGTAGAAAATGAGATGTAGCTGAAAATCATATGATCGTAAATGTAACTCTTATTATTTTGATGGAAAAGATCAAGAATTTTTGTTGGGTTCAATTTGTATAGATACGTGCTTTCGAACTATAATTGAGTTGATTAAAATGGGGCTCAACATAGCCTAAC